CCCCCTCCTTCCTCCCCCTCCTCCCCCCCTGTCGGCTGAAAAATGTGCAGCTGTTACAGTAAGCGTGTTCGCTCTTACAGGGCCAGAAATAGCCGCCTTTAGCCGGGGCAGGAACACGGAGACAACCTCCATTAGCTGGACTGTGAGAGGACTGAATCACCCCGGGCTCCGGGGCTTCAACCTCTCTCTGCGCCGGCCGAGAGCGGGAATCAGATTTCTCCGTAGCTGCCCCCCCCCCCTCTCTCTCCTGTGTCTCTCTCTATCTGAGGTCCGCAGCTCCGCAAACAGCAGGCAGGAAGATTGAGGGGAGTGTGAACTCACAGGGAAGTCGGAGCTCGAGCTCCTCGTCGGGAAGTTATGAGCAGAGTTAGGCCTTAAAAAGTTTTACCGTTTGACCAATAAGCGAATACGGGCCAACGTGATGAGACGTCGTAAAGATTATTTGACACCGTTTCCACTGACGCGGGTGGGCTGGGGGGGTGGGTAGGAAAAGGGGGCGCTCTCACAGCCAGTGCTGTCTTGAAAGAGTAGAGATAATGGGGAATAATGGGGGTTGCGTCAGGCTGGGCAGAAAAGGAGGGAGCAGACTAGAGGAGTGGAGGCAGGCATGGAGGAGTCAGACCTTTATCTGAAGAAGAGAGAGAGAGAGAGAGAGAGAGAGAAGGAGGGAAGGGAGGTGACAGAGGGAGAGACAGAGGACAGAGCCGTTAGCATTCAAATCACTTTGAGAAATTCCATTCAACAAGAGAGCTGAGAAATTCACAGTGAAGGAGGAGGAAGAGGAGCGGGAAGAAGAGGAGGGAAAGGAGAGCGACAGGAGGAAAATAACAAATAAAAGCAAATTGGCCCGTCTTCCTGCAGCTGGAGACGGGCGATGCGTGTCGGACACACTCGGAGGGCGCCGTTTTGGGGGACGGGAAGCAGAATGGCAGGAGCCTCGGAGCAGCTTTTTAGATTTTGTTATCAAACCGAGTCATCGAGGAGGTCTGGCTCTGAGTGGGATATCAGCTGACCCTGACAAAGGAAGTGAGGGCGGCAGCTGGCGTGAGAGAGAGAGAGAGAGATTATCGCCGCTTCTCAGATCGTGATTCGACTGCTTTGGTCTGGGATCCAGGTGTAAAGTGGAGAGGATTCTCATTCATCCGAGAGTTTGTTCTTTAAATCTTCAGTCAGTGTCAGCGGCGAAGGGAACGAAGGAGAACAGATCTGTGGGTCTGATGTTCTCCAGCGTCATCATCAGGGGGCCTGGGGTCACCTAGGGGTCAGCCAGGGGTCAGCCAGGGGTCAGCCTGTGGTTCTGAACTTCACCCCAACAATTGATACTTGTGATATTTTGTTTCCTGATCCCGTATCAATCTCCCAGTCCAATATCCCTGGTGTTGGTGTTGGACGTCCTCGCCCTGAAGTCCGTTCTGACCCGAACAGTCAGCTTGACTTCACTCGGCCTAATTATGACCCCTGGTGACCTCAGGCACAGACCACGCCCCCTTTAGAGAGGCCAGATCCCTGGTTCCACTGACTCAAGATTTAAAGATCCCTCGTTTCTCTTTGGCCACGCCCCCTCCCCCGCTGGCCTATTAGGTGCGTCTGATCATGTTGGTGAGGCGGGACAGGAGGCCAGCTCTTGTGGGCCTCCCTGGCCCCGCCTCTCGCCGGGGTGGCGGCGCCCCCTCCCC